TGCTCGCCAAATACTCTTCTGAATTCTCTGATGGGAGTTTTCGCAACTTTAATATTTTTATTGCTAGCTCAATCTTTATTGTATAATATTTTTTTAGCTTGCTTGTACATGTGCAATACATGTGATAATATAGTTATTTATGCGTTTCTTCGTCAATCCATATGTTCTCTTTATTATAAACTTAAAGCACATTTTCTTAACAGAAAAGCCCCAACTCAGATCCTTAATTTTCCCAATTAATCTTATAAGTTTAGTTCTATTCCTAAACACTAATTCAGACCTTCAAATCGTACCCGTAACACTGCCCTTAAAACTCTAATACTAACCCTTATCCTGAATTTCAAATACAAACAAGTATCTTAATCTGTTTTCTATAACACTAACTCTAATCCTGACTTTCGAACTCAGCAAGAATTCCCCATCTTAGAACCCGGACCATTTCAGTGACCGTAAAGTCATGTCAACAACCTTCACCCTAAATGCACCAACTCATACCACTGTAACATTGACGTTAACGCTATTAAAAGAGGCCAACCTAAATAAAATATTTTAAACGAATTTTAAAACAGCTATTAAGTGGGCTATCTACAGTATCATCACCAGGTAAAAATAAGGGTTAAGTTAATGCTTAGACCTAATATTTAGTTTGCGTTATGACAATGCTGTCGCAGTGAGTTGCCTGTTTTAATGTTCAATCAAATTAGTCCAGATAGGTGATTTGGGATTCTGTCGAAGGGAAGGTTCTCACTATCCTTGTAGGGAGATACCTGTAAAGTGGGCGGCCACAAAGGTTTTGGAGAACCTCGAAATCTCGGACGGCATCAGGTTCGTGGTTGTCCACATGCCTAGATCTTCACGCCTATCCACCACTTTTGATGCGGTGCCATTTATGAAAAAAAACGATGTTTTTTGTGGCACCTTTCGACTGGGGCTAGTATGTAGGACCAGACACTTCGATACTTTAAACTTAAGAATCCAGGTGGACGACCAGATAATCAGTTTATCGATGTTCGATTGTAATTTCATTGCGTCGTCAGCGCAGCTAATTTCAGTCCATGTGTTTATGTCATCCGCAAACATTGTCTTATAGCTCACTATGCCCCCAAAAAACCCCACCTCGAATCCTTAAACCCTAACTTAACCTCATAACACTGACACAAGCCCAAAACATGAACCTCAATGCTGACCAAAAAACACAAACGGTAAACCTAACACTAACTCAAATCCTGAATTTGGAACCTTAAAAAAGCTCTTAATTTAAACCTCTAGCACATTAAATAACCGTAAAATCTTGTAAAATATCTTCATCCACCAATCAACTACCAATACCAGCGTTACGATTGTTTTAAACTTAAAGCAGAGACATTACCCAAATGAAATAGGTAGGCTTGTTTTAAAGTAACAACAATATCGCTGTCGAGTTAAAATATAGGCTAATTTCAATGTTAGAATTAATGTTCGCCTGGGGTAACTGTTATTGTAAGTGTCACGATACATGCGAAATGCCACCGGAATATTAACGCGAAATACTGTTTTAATGATGGACCTGTGAATTTTCTGAATAATGCAATGCCCCCCACAGTGATTTTACTTCGCAATGTTAAACCCCACTACCATAAAATGTTTTCAGATCGGTGACTTTGGACTCTGTCGAAAGAAAGGTTCTAGCTACCCTTGGGGAGAGCGGCCTGTAAAGTGGTCGGCGCCCGAGGTGTTGGAGAATAAAGAAAACTTCAGCACGAAATCCGACATCTGGTCCTATGGTATCGTTCTCTGGGAGGTATACAGTCTTGGCCTGGAACCCTTCTCTGGTATACCTAATAGCGAACTGAGCAAAGCGTTGAAGAAGGCCTTCGATGAGAACAAGTGTCCACTTCAGTTCCCTGACGATACACCTGATGTCGTCAAGGAGGTAGCTCGCAAGTGTCTAAGAAAGGACCCCACCATTCGTCCTAGTTGCGATAATATTATCGAAGCGTTCGAGAGGAAGCCGTCGACTTCTTCTTTACCTGCGAGAAAACCTCTACCTCCTCAATCTTTGTCACCGTCAGATCCTATACCTCCTTCATCTTTGTTGTCGAACTACTCGCTGACTGCTCCCAACCGTCATTTAAGCGGTAAGCCTCGCCCGATTGATCCTCCTCCTCCTCCTCCTCCTCCTTCTAATCACAACGGTTAATAAAATTGAAATATGGGCATTGCAAGATTAATATGTGAAAATATTCGCGGTCAAGAGATAATTTTACATTCATTTTCCCCAGAAGAGGAAGAAGAAGTGGAGGCG